GAACCTCCTTCCGCAACCTCTGCATTCTCATCTTGCTCGCTCATATTTGGGCTTGACTCTCACACACTCACCAGCTACACTTCTTCCATCCGTGTCCTTGTCACTACTGCCAACATGAGAAGCTGCCGTATCATTGACTTTGTGCCGTTGGTTCTGGTGCTACCGTGGTATCTTTACCAACCAGTCTTAGATTGTGGCACTCATCCACTTTCGCCGTGTTACCATTGATATTCCATAAATAATTATCAGGGTCCACATCGCTCCCTTTTTGCAGATTCGCTACCGCTTCCACCCACTGCGGCGTGACGAACTTCAGCTGGCTTTTTATTTCGCGGTTATTCATCAGCGCCCTTGCGTCTTTCATCTTTCTTTCTTGGCTATTGTAAGATTGCCCGGTACAGACTATATGGGTGGCGAGTTTAACGCTGTCGGGTACTGAGCCACCTAAGCGTAGGACCAAGCTTCGTAATGCAATGTGCGTACGGTCCTGGCCCCCAAACCTACCACAAAACACAATAGAGTAAGATTTGAGAGGCCGCGGACGCTCTGTTGGGAGGGCCTTCCGATCCAGCCTTCTTCGAGTCACGACAGCCATCGCGGCCTTACCACAACGTGATTGAATCTCAGGTAATTGTGCGGGGGGTGTTGGCCATTTATTACTTGCCGCCTTGGCGACCTAGGTGGCTCAACCTGTTGGCCAGTACCATTTGGTCATCGCTTGCAGTCCAAAGTTGCCATTGATATGTACCAGAAGATATATTTATTTCTACAGGGTCGTAAAATTGGCTCTGAGCTTCTGACACGATGTGTCACACAGCACGATTGTATGGTACAGCTTGGGCAGAATGAATGACTCTTGATTTTCTATCTAAAGGAGCGGAATTATACGAAATTAAATACTTCTGGAATACTGCTGCTTAGGCAGCAGTATTACGTTCCTGTTACCACTTGCCACTTGCCAGTGGCAAGTTGCCACCTAGGCAGTGATGCTTGCGTATTCTTGACAGAGGCAGCATTGTGCTTGAATGAGCGACCTGATCTTGACACAATGCCCCAGTTCGAAACCAATTCCGCGTTCCTTTCCTTCGTATCGCCCTCTCCGTGCTGTTCAAATGATCAACGTAAAGAAACAGCCGCCTCCTTACAGGTGGATTGCTCGCAAATTTGTTCACCACAGTGTACTTCGCAAGAAGCTGATCGATCCCAATAGGACTGATCGATCCCAATAGGAAGCCTAGTCGAATCAAATTTGTTTATGCCGCTTATACAGTCTAGTCGAACCAAATTTGTTTATGCCGCTTATACCTCTTGTTATGGCAATAACAAGGAAAGAGGAATTCCTCCCAAAGACGCTGCCAAAAACGCTGCCAAAAACGCAAGCAACTCTTCAAGGCGCTGGCAAGATCAAGTGTGAAAGCAGAGACCCCACAGCGGCGGAAACGTTACAACGTTCGCAGTCTCAAACTATGATAACGATTCAAGATTCCAACGGGCGGAAACGTTACAACATTCGCAGTCTCAAACGATGATAACGATTCAAGATTCCAACGTAACATGAATGTCGGGGTGGTTTATGAGGTGTCGTTCGGCGAGCTGAGGGTTGTAGAGGCGCAAACGCAGCGCTCATGGTTTAAATTTTGGGCTGTAGTTAAGGCAAGAGCTATTCATGGCCCGTAAGGCCTTGGTTGTCTAAGAACCTTTGGGGGCCGGGGTTCAGACTCAGTATGCGTTAATCCGCGCTTACGAGCTATGTCGTTAGATGCCGCTAGGATAAGTTGCAGAGCAAGAGACACAATACTACGCGCTGTATAATATCCAATGGGAGTATGTATGTATCATTCCAGTTGTAAGAGTGGCATGCGCACTGCAGAGAATATATTCATAACCAAACGGCGTCTTTCGCTTGCAACGTAAGCAAAGACTACCCACCATTAGGTCCTTCGCTAGCCAGCATCAGAGTTTGACTTGCCGTGAGAGTAGATTTTCGCTGCAGTGTCTACTCCGCTGAAGATATGCGTCAACTTTGCCATGTGCTCTTGTGCCTCGGTAAAAAATATCGTCCCAACACGCCTTACAATGGTTGTCTCATGCTGGGCTAAAGTACTGTAATCACGCATCCCTATGTGCTGCGATGTTCTACGTTGTTCTACCTAGTACGCTGTCCCTTCACTTCGCCACTGGAAAATGATGTGTTTCTTTGGTAATTAAAGCATGCCGCCGACGTTCTAAATCCACTTATGGCAAATTGAAAAACGAGATCATTCTCACTCAGTGCCAGCGAATGATCTGTCAACATCCACAGTCTAATTTATTTGTGTGACAATCACTGTGCTGAACTTACAAAAGAGCATCACCAAAGACCATATAATCGGCCACGGCTAGCTGTATTTCCGCCATACGCCTGTCTGTAATTGTTTCCACTCGAAAGCAGTAAGCTCAAGATGTTGATGCTTAAGCCTTGTCTTTTGTCTGAATACCACAAGTTGTGTACCGCGTATAGACCGTATTGGGCAGCCGGTTTCATCTCTTGTGCGCGCCTTTCAGTCTCGTAGATGCGAAGAGGATCAGCACTACATTCTACATCTCGGTGTATAAAGGAACGCATTAATATAACGGCGTTATAACATGTATATACTTCAGTTTGATTATGCGTCGTGTGGTCGGACGAGCTTTTCAAATGAATCAAATATGAAACCAACAGCTATCTACACCTTGCTTGTTCTGTATCTCCTCATCTCCACAGCCACTGATACAGCCACCCAGACTTTGTTTGGCGTTGATTTGACGAGTCTCGATCTGCCTGTTGAAAAGCATCTGGACGTTCCGCCTAACATGCGGCTGCTCCTCCTGCCTAGCGCTGTTGCGGTTGCTGGTCGACGCGTACGCCGGCTGCCAAGTACTTCGTCGAAGGCTAACTGTAACTGACTGTTGGAAGCACAAGACCCCTATCGGCGTGATAATTATCACAGGCACAAACGGCTACGCGCTGGTGATCATGATGTTGTTCTTGCTTGTGTTGAATTCATCTAGCTATGGATAAAGCACGCCTGAATTGGTGTTGAGGTCTCCTCACGTGAGGTCTGTTTCAGCCACTGTTTGAGGCTACTCGCAAGCTGCTGGCTCCGCCGCCCAAGACGGCGGTGGAAGCAACACTGACATAGGGATATTGCATTAATACAGTCGCATACATACAGTAAGTGGCAGAAAGATTGGCGAATGCCGAACCGAAAGGGACGTAGCTTCCTGACTTATGAGTAGCTTGGAAGTATTGGGAGGAAAGGGGGGTTCAAGACCCGGAAGCAGGTTGGGAAACAACCACAGCAAACGAAAAGAAACATGAATGTGCCATGAGGAGTGGCCAAACAAAATAAACTGGAATTGTCTTCAAAAAAAAAAAGAATGGGCCGTGAGAGCGGATAAAATAAACTGGAATTTTCTACAAAAAAGAATGGGCCGTGAGGAGCAGACAGACAAAATAAACTGGTCGTCTTCAAAAAAAGAATGGGATGTGGCCTTGACAAAGCCATGGCCTTGAGTCAATCTTGAGAAAAGAAAACGGGCTGGCAAGCTGAATGCGGGAAATACATGCAGTACAATATGTACTGTACTAAATACACATGCTGAACTGTGCAAAATAACAGCACAGCACATGGACCAGATTCCGTAATGTCAAGTTGCCAGTCAAGTGTACCCTGGACTCGATGTGTCCTTCCCAAGAACAAACTGTACACCACCGCATCCCCAGCCAACATCTGGGGGCGCGGCCTGAACCTCTCCTGGTT